GCATTCAAAAAAACCCCTCCCAAGATCCCCCATTTCCTCTTTGAAATAACATTTCCCCTCTTCATCTGTGGGACTTGCCTGTGACTTTTGCTATGACCTGCTTGTTTGAAATTGCAACTATTTGCTGTTTTGGAATAAACCCATGTTTTTCGGGTAATATCATTATTTTCTTTTTAACTGCAAAGACAATTTTATGTATTGCTAGCCATGACTTTTTATCATTAGTTGTTACTTAAATGTTCCTTCATGTCATTATCAGAGACATGACTCTTTCATAGCCAATAATTCACTTCTGTATTTATAGACTTCTCATGGTTTCCATCTGTACATCCATCAATGAAGCGTTGACATAGAGGGGTGCTCTAGCATAATATACGATATTTGCTGATAGCAATATAGAGGATGTGTTCTTAATCACCTTTTTATTTGAGTTGCCTTATGTAAAAAATAAATCAGTAATTTATACATTCTAAGTCTCTAAAAGAGATTTTTGAGTGCATTCTTAGAAATGGTGAAGGACAGTAAGATTTTCCAAAACAATTTCCATGTCCACAATTTCTGTACCATTTTATTTTCCAGATTTTTTTCCTTTGCATGCACAATGGGCCCTGATGACAGGAATGTTTTGCTTCCCATTTTGCATGTCTTGGACTTTCTGTAGCTCACTTTTCTTCAACCTGTTCATTGTAAATTTAGCTTGGCATCTGATCTATTTGATTCTCTTTGTTGCATCAATACTTTTTTTCTCCTTCTCCCACAGCCCTTGCTGGTATTTGATGGGTTTATTGCTATGTTTATCAGCAGATTATAAATACACTGCAATCTTCATGGGTGAACATCAGGCAGTGGCTGTGGTATATGTGCCCTGAACAGAAATAACACGTTTTAATGGTCTTGGTAAAACAGTCAGCATCCCAGCACCCAAATGTGAAACTTTAAAGAAAATGACATGACCCCCACCACGAACGTTACCCATTTAAGGTGGATATTATATAATGACACACATAGGGATCCAGAAGTGATCCTGGAAATTTCTGGGGACCTTGAGCAAATATTTGCAGTATCCACAGAGTCCTTTGAGCTAGAAGTTCCCTCCCTGACTCTGGAGTTTAAGGGCTAGTTTCTCTCCTGGTTCAGAGCTTCTGCTCTCTTTGTGTTTGAAGTTCTCCAGACACTATGAGGAAACTGTTGAAATACTTCCTGCTATTCAGATTAAGGTCCTTGTTTTGCCTGCAAGTATTCATTTGGAACTCCTGCCTGACTTGGGATCAGTTTTATTGGAACTGTACTAGTGTTTGACCTCATTCTTTTGGGAGCTGGGCTGTTCTACTGAAACTGAAATACCCAACAATTTACCCCAGAAAAGGAAATCCAATATGAAAATGTAGTAAGTATTGGTTCAATAAATGTACGCCACTGTAGTTTGAGCCAAATAGCAAACCAGTCCTACAAGAAATTTTGAGATTCCCACTCCATACACTGTAGATGCTTTAAACCTTTGGCTATAGACAAAATGGAAGCATCTATGAACTTATGTTGTGGTGGGAGATATTAACAAGCCTGCAAAAGAGCCTGCCTCACTTTTCCCACTTGTCCCAAGGATAATCCAGAAACTGTATTGCCACTGCTGCTGGAAATTTTAGATTGCCTAATGGACCATTTGATGTTTGGTGTAGAGATTCCATATAGCTTTCCCCACACCCTAACATCCATTATATCTCATGGATATAAATGTTTTATTCACAGTCTGTTACTTTCTCATTGGACTGAGAAAGCTACTTCCTCTACTGACCAAAGGCTTCTTAGAGAACACTGATCCCATTGGGGAGCTCCTGTCAAACTGCACAGTGACAGAGGAAACTATTTTACTGGTAAGGTGATAATACAAGGCTGTACTATTTGGCCAAGTCTACAACATTTTCACTGTGCCTACCACACTCAATCTCTGGGTTTTCTTGAACCTACTAATGGCTTCATTGCCACCCTCAGATCTACACTTTTTGGAACCCATAGGCTTTCACCTTTCAAGATACTTTACAGAATGCACCATACTTTTGGCTCCTGCCTCTTTGGATCAAAAGTTGTTAAGGAAGTCATACTTTAATATTGTAAACACTTAACAGCTTCTACAGAACACCATCACACTGTGATAGAAAAATCTCTTCACAGTGCAATCCAAGGAAATGAAAAACTGAAAATCCAAATCTACCACATGAAGATTAGGTTTACTAGAAAAGAAACCTTAAAAAAATAATACCACCAGCATCGTTGTAAGGAGACTTACCAGATAGCATTGACACACCCCCTGTGATGCTAAGCCCCAGCGACCAGGTCATTCGATAGACTTGTCACTCCTAAAGAAGGTACCAAAACCTGAAAGAAACTTCACATAAACTGATGATCTAAATCTAAAGCTGAAAAAATAATAACGCAAGTAACTGCGGAAGGGAACCGTTTTCCGAACATGACCAGATCAGAACTGTATGACTCTCTTTTTATTTATTATTAATTCTTATTTCTTTTTACTCTTTTCTTAGAAAGAATGTGCCCCAGTTTGATTTTCTAATCTATTATGAAAAGGGCAACTTTTCTTGGTATGAATCCGTCATTAAGAACTTCAAGATAATAGTGGTTTTTGTTTCATTGCTATAGGCTTGAGCTCCTGGTTTAATTCATCACATAGATTAGATTGCTTTGTTGTTCTAATTGCACTTCGAATTCTTCTTTTTAAGCTATGAACCTGTTGCTTGTTGACCCTGGACACGAGCTGTCCCCATGCTTGCACTCAAAAACACACAGAAAAATGCATCCTCTGATATTTTGTTTGAACATCAAATTCATCTAGATAGATTTAGGTGCCTGTCTTAGGCAGGTTCCTGGTCTTGTGGTTTCAAGATCAATTTCATTTTCGAAGCATTTGCTGCTGTATTCAGATCTGTTTCCAGAATATGCCATGTAATGGTCACTTGAGAAATGAATACTAGCCTGTTCAATTATCAACGACTTGGAATTTATAGGCAGCTGAGTGGTGATGTCACTTAGCACACTACTTTATAGGCTTGCTTACCCAATATCTTCCTTTCCACAATCATGCTGTCATTTTATAGTTTCTGGGTTCTTTCTTATTGTATCTTCAGGCAGAAAGGTGGAATTCTGGTTGCCCAGCATTGCTATACCCAAGTCATAATTGCACCCATATCCAAGTGAATGAAGACTGAAAAAAAATTCTGATTGTTTACCCCAACTTTAGGCATCACAATTTACCCAAACACTCAGGAAATTTCCCTCATTTAGTATTTTATTTTATTGAGTAATCATGGCTCCCATTTTCAGTTTACCATCACCTTGAGATTGCTTCAAAGCTGGATATTAGAGAAAAGCAAAAAGAAAAACTGAGTGATATTTTTTTGTTTTCCTATTAGCATTCAGAATTGACTTTTCCATCCTTGAAGCAGACCTACCAGGCTTTTTTAATTTCTCTTCAGGAGTATGTTAATTTTATGTTACACATGAGCAGAAGCCCCATCTGTTGAGAACAGTAACACATCCCGATTATTTCCAAGTGTTCTTGATAATTCTCTCCTGAAAAAGACCACTGCATATGAAGGCACCAAGGAGTGATTCTATGTTACTCAGTTAAGATTAGGGTAACTAATACAAACATAAACATTGACTAATGCTTTTGCTATGAGTGAAAAGGTATGTGGACTTTTTTTTTTCCTGACCAAGAGACTCATGTCTTCTGCCAGCACGTGCAAAGAGTAACTTGAAGGTTCCTACCTTTCAAGTATGGTAAAATCTCAGACTACATAAGCAGGTGTAGCATACAAGCAGAGGCCATACTCTAGAAGGATGGGCTCATAATTCAATATGACTTGTGTCCTTATGAAAATGGGGAATTTGGACACACAGACATGCACACGGGAAAAATGCCTTATGAATATTAGGGTAGCAATCAGGGGGATGTGTCTACAAGCCAAAGATTTCCAAAGATTGCCAGAACACCACCGAAAGCTAGAAGAGGGGCAGAGAACAGATTTTCCCTCATAGTCCTCAGAAGGAACCAACCCTAAATTTTCGGCTTCCAGAACTGAGATAGAGCAGATTTCTGTTTTTTAAACCACCAAGTTCATGGTACAATGTTAATAGCAGCTAAAAGAAAACTAATAACATAAAATTATTGCTTAATAAAGAGGCTGTGGTCCACAATTTTAGGTTAGGAATTGTAGAATGCTTTCTGAGATGTTGTAGCAAATTTTCTTACCCAACTGGTGAACAGCAGAGAGTAAGGATCCTACACTATTAAAACTGAATGTTTCTTCCCAAATAATGTGTCAGTTGTTAATAATGGCTTTCTAGGTTGCAGGAAGCAAGATGATATGATAGCTCCCAACTGATAAGGAATATGGCTTTGGCTAATGAATTGGAGAGTGCCCAGAGTTGAAGATAAGTAGTGTCAATGTCGAACATATGGAGATATAGAAGTTCATCCCAAACTAAGAAGGAGACCTAGTACGTTGGTGGACTATAGGTACTGGAAAATGCATCTATGTCTAGTGAATAATTCAAGACTGGTTTGTTTGGCCTGCTTGAGTACACTTCAGTGACCTCTTCACAATCGTGATTGGGAGGCCCACCCTCAATGGGCAGAAACGTAGCTGGGTTCAATGTTCGTACAGTCTCAAGGCATACTCTTAGATTTTCGCAAAGCAGTCCCTGATAATGAGTTTTCTGGCGCTGGTTAGCCATTTATGTCCGTGATTATCCATTAATGCAGTTACAGCATGGGGGCCCTTTACATTTACATTTTGTCCTAGCGTAAGCTTGTTTGCTTCTCTGATTAGGATTACCATGGCAGCTGAGGGTCGAAAGCACAGTGGCCATCTCGCCGTCATCAAATTTAGCTGTTTGAACAAATATGCAATGGGGCGTTGCCATGGCCCCGCTGTTCGTGTGAGGACCCCCAGCGCAGAGTGATTCTAATTAAACATGCAGAGGTTTTAGTCTCGTGTTACGTCCAGTGATCCCAATGCTGGGGCACTGGTCATGAGTCTCTTTATTTCTCTGAAGGTCTTTTCTTGTTTGGAGCCCCATTCCCAGGGGTCCTTACTAGACCCAGCTGTGGCCTCATACAGAGGCCTGGCAATTTCAGAGAAACCTGGTATGCAGATCCAGCAGAATCCGGCTACTTCCAGAAATTCGAGGATCCCTTCCTTAGTGTTTGGCTGAGGTATTGAACAGATAGATAATTTCTTCTCATGTCCAAATGCCTGATGTCCTTCTGAGATGATAAACCCAATGTATTTGACCCTCTGTTTGCAGATTTGAGCCTTTTGCCCAGATACCTTATATCCTATAGAAGTGAGCAGGGCCAGCAAGGCTCTAGTACTTTCTAGCAGTCTTATTGGGTGGCACTTGCCAGAACGAGTCATCTGCATACTGGAGCAGGGTGCTGTTGAGCCTCTCTCTGGGGAAAGCAGCAAGATCTGCGGCCAAACAGGGTGGGTAAATTTTTAAAGCCCTGTAGCCATCTCATCCAGGTCAGTTGCGTCTTCCTCACGAATGTGGGCCTTCCCACTCAAGGCAAACAAAGACTAGCTGGGCGGTGATAACCGGAGTCAGAAGAAGGCATCCTTGAGATCTAGGCAAGTGAACCAGCTTGCCTGGGCAGGTAAAAGACTCAGGAGGGTGTACGGGGTCGGGACCACTGGATAGATGGTGACCACTACCTTGTTGATGGGCAGAGATCCTGGACAAGGCAGTAGTTGTTCACTCCCAGCCTCTTAACCGGTAAGAGTAGTGTGTTGCAAGGTGACTGACACTCAACTAGAATTCCAGTATCATGCAAATGCTGGATATGGTTATGAACACCTGGGGGTGCTTCTCATGATGGGAGATATTGCCTTTGTGTAACAGGAGTGGCTCCTAGTCTCAGGTCTACCACGATGGGCGTGTGATTTTTAGTTATACCTGGGGCCCTTTTCTCAGCCTAGACAGTAGGAAACTCTTCTAATGGACTGCTTGTATTTCTTCATTCAGAATGATGATGACCTACAATAATCTCTGTTCTAGTGCTCTCTCTGTTGAAATTGTGAGCTATTGAAACTGCTGGAGAAGTATTTTTGATCTCAACTCTTCTTTTCATTCTGAGTAAAAGTTGAGGACAGCCTCATTTAAAATTTGGATTTTGATAGAAGTGTAACTAAAAACAGAGGAGAAAGTTATTTTCTGACACAAGACTACAAGAAACCTAAACTCTAAATCTTATATCTCAAGGTTATTCTGCCACGTTAATGTCATCAACACATAGACATTGTTAACTATTGTCAAAATCAATAATTGGGAATAAAAACTTAAATAGCATGGCCCTCAAGTAAAAAATTGTATTTACATTTAAAGTAACACTGAATGCACTCTATAAAGTGCTTTCAGCATCTTTACTTAAGAGTTCACTGATGAGATTCAAGGTTGCTAGTAACATTTTTATAGTCCTGTATGCCCAAAGAGTTCTAATTTTTGTGAAAAATAATTTTCACAAAATATATGAAACTTACTACTTTCATATATTTTTATGAAATATATAAAAAATGTGTGTGTGTGTATATATATATATAGTGTGTGTATATATATGTATGAGTGTATGTATATATATATAGTGTGTGTGTGTTTGTGTGTGTGTGTTATGATTATATATGATTTAGTTACACGTGTTACCCCTAACCGATTATAAGGAGTAACTAAATTTTGTACTACCTTGCTTAAAACAGAGACTTCTTTATCTCCTGCCAGAATATCAGCTAGACAAGCAAATGATTGAAAAGTCTGTTGCACTTTACTAAATCCGTAAATGTTAAGCTATCGAACTAAACTTTTCATATTTGTAGTTTCAAATACTCTGAAAGGGGCCTTTTTTTCCAGAACTTCTTTCTTAAAAAGTTCTTCATTAATCACTATACAAGTTTCATTCCCATTCCAGCAAATAGACTGAAACTGATCGCTTTCAACTATTTTCCAGAGTTTTCTGGGAAAGGTCATAGTTTGAAAATCATTATCTTCATCTGGTCCAGATACACAAGATGTGTGACAAGGTCTTCTTATCAAGGATCGTGAAGAAAACATCTGAAAAGCACTTTCTATGGGTACAGACCTCAAGTGCGAGGCTCCAGGCATCTGATCACATAACGGAGATCTATTGGAGGATGCTGAACCAGTTGCTTCATCTTTAGAAGAATCACCTTGAATTTCTGAAGAAACACGTGCCATGTCAAATAAACCTTTCTTCATCTAATGTTGTCACTGATTGAGTTTTGAACACCACAGCCCCAGATGCTGCCTTGGCAGACCTACACTGATAAACTGCCCAGATCTCCACAATGGTGGTCCGCCTGAGTAGCTGTGACATTATAATATGACAAGTCTCTTAGCAACTAAACATAACATGCAGCCACGGTTTCCTTCTCACTCTGTATATTTTATTCAGAGAACATAAATTTAGGCTGGTTATTTACAAAGTGTAATCTACAAAAACTTGTTGCGGCAGAGCTATATATATATTTTTTTTTGCTGGGCCTTATCTTTATTGGCTATATAGAGTATTAAAAAACTAAGAGCTTTTTTACAATGGAATAAAATGACATTTTGCAAATGTCAGGTATCTTTTTTTCTAGGGAGGTAGTTGTAAACATTACTTATTTATTTACTTAATTAATTTTTAAATTAAGTTTATTGGGATAATGTTGATTAATACATGGTATAATTTTCAGATGTACATTATAATTTGATGTTTGTGTATTCTATTGTGTGAATACCACCAAAAGTCGTTTCCTTCAGCTACCATATATTTGATTCCCTTTACTCACTTCAACCTCCCCAATCCCAGTATATTACTCTCTTTAACCCATATACCTCTTCCCTCCTCCTCCACCCCTTGCACTCGGATAACCCCTTGTCCATTGTCCATGGCCCTGAGTCTCTCTTTGTCCTGTTCATCTGTTGCTTTTAGGTTTATATCCCTACATATAAGTGATATTATGTGTTTGTACTTTTCAGTCTGGCTTATTTTGCTTAGCATGATTATCTTGATGTCTATCCATGTTGTCGCAAATGGTATTATTTATCTCTTCTTATGGCTGAGTAACATTCCATTGAATATATGTGCCACAACTTCTTTATCCAACCATTTATCATAGGACACTTTGGTAACTTCCATGTACTGGCCACTGTGAATAATGCTGTAACGAACATCGGTGTGCCAATATCTTTTTTATATGGGTTTTCAGGTCTTTGGCCTAAATCCCCAGTATTGGGATTGCTGGATCACATGGTAGATCAATTCTTAGTTTTTTGAGGAACCTCCACACTGTTTTATATAGTAGGTATACCAATTCGCAATCCCACCAGCAGTGTATAAGAATTCTTTTTTCTCTGCATCCTCTCCAACATTTATTGCTTGTCCTGTTGACAATAGCTATTGTAATAAGTGTGAGATGGTATCTCATTGTGGTTCTGATTTGCATTTGCCTAATAGTTAGTGATGCTGAGCCTCTTTTCATGTTTTTAGGCCCTTTGTATGCCCTCTAGGGAGAAGTGTCTGTTCTGGTCCTCTGCTCAGTTTTTGACTGAGTTTGTTTGTTTGTTTGTTTGTTTGTTTTTTGTCATTATTGAGGCATATGAGTTCTTTGTATATTTTGGATAGGAGACCCTTATCATTGGCATTGCTTGCAAATATATTTTCCCATTGAGATGATTGTCTCTTTTCCATATTGACAATTTGTTTTGCTAAGTAGAAGCTTTTAAGTTTGATGCAGTCCCATTTATTTATTTTTGCCTTTCTTTCCCTTGCCTTGAGATCAAATCATAAAATCCTCTTTAAGTCCAGGTTTCTTGAGTTTCATTTTCCTGTTTTCTTTTATGAATTTTCTTGTTTCAGGTCTTATATTCATGTACTTAATCCATTTCAAGTTCATTTTGCTGTGTGATGATAGACAACAGTCTAGTTTCATTCATTGGCAGGTGGCTTTTCTGTTTTCCCAGCACCATTTATTCAAGAGGTTTTCCTTTCTCCATTGTATGTTTTTGGCTACTTTGTCAAAAATTATTTGCCCGTATAAGTAGGGATTTACTTCTGGACTCTCAATACTGTTCCACTGGTCCGTGTGTCTGTTTTGTTGCAATACCATGTTGTTTTGATGACTGTTGCTTTGTAATACATTTTGAAGTCGGGCAGAGCGATGCCTCCAGCCTCGTTCTTTTTCTCAGGATGGCTGTGGCACTTCACAGTCATTTTTGCTTCCATACAAATCTGATGATAATTTGTTCTATTTCCTTAAAAAATGTCCATGAGATTTTGATCGGCATTGCATTAAATCTGTATAATGCTTTAAGTACTATGGTCATTGTAACTATGTTGATTCTTCCAATTGAAGAACATGGAATATCTTTCCAGTTTTCTGTATCTACTTCAATTTCTTTTAATAGGGTCTTCTAGGTTTCATTATATGCGTCCTTCACATGTTTCATTGAATTTATTCCTAGGAATTTTATTCTTTTTGTTGCAATTGTGAAAGGAATTATTTTTTCCTCTCCATTTTCTCATGGTTCATCATTAGAGTATGAGAACGCTATGGATTTTTAAACATTGATTTTTTTATCCACAGACTTTACTGTGTTTGCTTATTGTTTCTCATAGTGTTCTCGTGGAATGACTAAGGTTCTCTATATGGAGAATCATGTCAACTGCAAAATAGTGACAGTTTAACTTCCTTGTTTTCTCCTTTCTTTTATATCTTCCTCTTGCCTGATTGCACTTGCTAGGACCTCCAAGGTTATACTGAATAACAGTGGCAACAGTGGATATCTTTGCTTTGTTCCTGATCTTGGAGGAAAGGGTTTTAGTTTTTCATCATTAAGTAAATGTTGGCTGAGGGTTTGTCATATATTACCTTTATTATGGTAAAGTTCTTCCCTTTTGCACCAATTTTGTTAAATGTTTTGATCATAAATGGAGACTATATTGTGTCAAGGGCTTCTTTCTGCAACTACTGATATGATCGTATGATTATTTTTTTAATTTGTGAAAAACTGTGGTGTATCATATTAATCAATTTGCTTATGTTGCACCATCTCTCCACCCTGGGATGAAGATCACTTGACCATAGTATATAAACTTTTTCATATGTTGCTGTATTTGGTTTGCTAGTATCTTTTTGAGGATTTTTGCATCTGCGTTCAAGAGAGATATTGGTCTGCAGTTTTCTTTTTTTTGTATTATCTTTACCAGGTTTTGGTTCAAGATAAATTTGGCCTCATAAAATGAGTTGGGAAGCATTGCCTCCTCCTCGATATTTTGGACGAGGTTGAGGAGAATAGGTATTAAATCTTTGAATATTTTTCTAGAAGCACTGGCGAAACCATCTTGTCCTGGGCATTTACTTTTTGGTAGGTTTTTGATGATTGTTTCAATTTCCATACTTCTGAACGGTCTATTTAGATTTTCCAGATCTTCTTGATTCTAGCTAGGAAGATTCTATTTTTCTAAGTACTGGTCCATTTCTTCTAGAATATTAAATTTGGTGTTCTATACTTTTTCTTGCATGATCCTTTGTATTTCTTTGATATCAATTGTCATTTCCCCTCTTTTATTCCTGACTTTGTTTATTTGTGTCCTTTTTCTTTTTTCTTGAGTGACTCTAGCCAAGGGTTTGTCAATTTTATTAAGATTCTCAAAGAACCAGCTTTGTTGTGTTTTTTTCTATTGTTTGTTGTTGTTGTTGTTATTTTCAACTTCATTTATTTCTGCTCTAATTTTGATTACTTCTTTTCTTCTGCTGATTTAAGCCTCATTTGTTCTTTCTTTTCTAGTTTTTAAGATGAGTGTTAGGTTGTTTTTTCAGCTCATTCTTGTTTTGAAGATAGTCCTGTAATGATATGAACTTTCGTCTGATGACCGCTTTTGCTGTGCCCAAGTTTTGATATGTTGTATTATCATTTTTATTCATTTCTATGTATCTATTGCGCTCTCTTTTCCTTTTTTCTCTGACCCATTATTTCTCAGGAGTATTTTGTTTAATCTCCGCGTACTTGTGATTTTTCCTGATTTTTTCTTTGTGATTAATCTCTAAGTTTCAAAGCATTATAATTAGAATATGGTTGGTATGATTTCACCCCTCTTATATTTGTTGAGGCTATTTCTGTGTCCCAATATGTGGTCAATTCTTGAGAATATGAGAATATTGCATGTGCACTAGAGAAGAATATATAAGCTTTTTTGTGATGGAAGGCTCTGCATATGTCTATTATATCCCATTGGTCTAATGTGTTTTTTAAGGATGTTATTTCCTTATTTATTTTCTTTTTGAATGATTAGTCCATACCCAACAGTGGGGTATTTATGCTTTGGTCTGCTTCTCCTTCTGATATGTTAGATTTTGCTTTACTATTTGGGGACTCCCTGATTGGGAGCCTAGATATTAATAAGTGTTACATTTTCTTGCATGATTTTCTTTACCATTATGAAGTGTCTCTCAGTATTTTTCTTTATCTTTTGTATTTTGAAGTCTATTTCATCTGATATTAGTACTGCTACTCCCGCTTTTCTTAAAATGCCATATGCTTGAAATATCATTTTTTACTCTTCCATTTTGGTTATATATTTGTCTTTGGAGCTGACATGTATCTCCTGTAGGCAGTATATGGTTGAATTTTGTTTTTTGATCCATTCTGCAACTCTGTACCTTTTTATTGGTGACTTCAGTCTATTTACATTTAGGGTAATTATTGAAATATGAAGTCTTCTTATAGCCATTTTATCTTTTGCTTTCTGGTAGCTTGATGTTTCCATTGCTTCCTTTTCTTGCATTTCTGTTTTCTTTATTCTGGTTGGCTTTTATGGGTTTTGCCTCTGATTCTTCTCGTTTTATGTTAAATACTTCAGTTCTGACTCTATAGTGTGTGGTTACCATTACAAATATGTAAACAGTTACACACACACACACACACACACACACATTTTATTCTGTGTAGGCCTGATCTTTTTCCATTGCAAATTTAGATTTGAATCCTCCCCTTTTCAGTCATTGTTATATCAGTTTGTTTCTATGTATGCTGAAGGTTCATTATAATCTTGCTATAGTAAATCTCGTCTTCTTGTTTAAGTTTATAATGCCGTGTTTTTAATAAGAGCTGCACTCCTCTGCATCTATTTGCCTGATAGTCACTTCACACCTAATTATGTATTTTGTTGTTATTTTGTTTTAGGTGAGCTG